ATGTGTTGTTCCTAAGGGCTCTGTCCTCGGTCTTCTCCCCTTCAACCTCTTGGTGACATCATCCGCAGACATGGGTCAACTTCCACATGTACATGAATGACACCCAACTCACTCTCTCTACCTCCACCCTCAACTCCAGGACCACTGATGTCATGACAGACTGCTTGTTAGACATCCAGTCCCGGATGAGAGCTAACTTTCTACATTTGAATGTCAGCAAGACCGAGGCTCTCCTGATTGGCTTGGGCCAGAGCCTCCGCACCTCAGGCACTGGCAGCATCAGCATCCACGGATGCACACTCCACCTCACTGAGCCAGTCCGGAACCTGGGAGTATTGTTCAACACTCAACTTTCCTTTCTCCCCCACATCCATGCCATGACCCACTCTGCCTTCTCCCACCTCAGCAGCATTGCCTGACTCTGCCATTGCCTTACCCCTCAGGCCACCGAAACCCTCATACATATCTTTGTTACATCCAGGCTCAACTATGCCAACTCCCTGCTTATCAGCCTTCCTAACTCTTCCCTCCACAAGCTACAAATCATCCAGAACTCTGCAGCTCATGTCCTCTCCCACACCAGGCTCTGTGACCCCATCACACCCACCATTGCCCGGCTCCATTGGCACCCCATCCCTCAGAGAATTGAGTTCAAAATCCTCATTCTCAAGTTCAAGCCCTCCATGGCCTTGCACCCATCTACCTCTCCAAACTGCTAACCCCTTATCAACCTGTCTGCTCGCTCCGCTCCACCTGCTCTATGTCCCCCGCCTGGCCCTCCCCACCATCGGCGGTCAAGCCTTTTTCCTCTCTGCCCCCACCCTCTGGAACTCCATCCCATTCCTTTGCCTCGCTCCCTCCCTTGCCTTCTACAAGACACGCCTCAAATTTCTCCCTCCAACACTCTCTGCCCTCCACCCTCCCTGATCCCAACACCCCACTCCCTGCTCGGGTCCTAATCGGATCAGCGCCTTGGGATGTCCTCCCAATGTGAAAGGTGCTTTACAAATGTAACTTTTGTATTGTTAAGTGCCTTGGGATGTCCCCCAAAGTGAAAAAAAGGTGTATAATGCTTTGAGACATTTCAACGATGTGCTAAGGCGCTATATCAAATGCCAGAATTACTACACAAATGCAAATTTGTATGATTCAATAACTAAACGCTGTGAAGGAAATCAGACCATCTCCACGTAGTGCTTCCCACGGCCTCTCACATTGATTGATTCAAGTTCACTCCCTTTTTTAAATATAAAATAATTTAAAACAATGCACTTTAATATGAATTCCCTTGAGAATTGAGTGCCTCAATTCTGAGAATCAAAAATGAAACAAAAGTGGGACATGTCAATCAGCATCTGAAAGAGACGGACAGGTTAACCTTTCAATTCTGACGTAAGCCTATTTTTCTCTTTTGCTGATTGACGTACTATGCATTTCCACTTTGTGTTTTTAGTAAGAATGTTTCTGGTTGTTTTTGTTTCACTGGTATAATACAAACTAGGTAATTTTGCAGCTCGGGTGCATTGAAGCCAAACAACATATTATTAACCCTTCAAAAGCTGCAAACATGTTCAGTATTTCAGATGCAGCCAAGTCTCAGATATTAGTGAGTTTACTCGTTTTAGGACTTGTCGAGTCCTGTAGCTTAGTGGTTAGAGCACATGCCTCTCTCAAGCGAGAGACCTGGGTTCGATTCCCAGAAGAGCAAAACCTTGGGCTAGTTTCCTTACTCCACACGCCAATAATAATCCCTCAAGAAAAAAAGCAATAATAAATTGGTCACTTCAATCCACAGCTGTTTGTGGAACACTGCTCTGCGCTGCGTTTCGCCCACAAATATACAGTCAATTCGCTTTACAGTTTATTCTGTGATGTGCTTTGAGACGTCTAGAAGATGTGAAAAGCGCTTTATCAAATGCAAAGATTATTATTATTATTTGTGGCCCTGTTTAGTGTGTTAGGAGCAAAAGTTACATCTGTAATTGACTTGGGGTATATCTGTGACTACATCCTTGATAATCATCAATCTTTTACATTTTCACTGCCTTGAAAACGCCTGTCAGCCCAGCTTTAATAATAATAATAATAAAGTAATAATTCATGCATTTGAGACAGCATCTCAAAAATCTCAAAAAGGATGACAGCATCCTGGCCAACAATCCCCAAACCCTCCAATAAATTGGCTGTTGCATTTGCCTACAAATACAGCCTCTATACTTCACAGTAAAATCCTGTGAACTGTGAGATGTCTCAACAACGTGATGAGGCATTATATCAAACGCAAGAATTATTATTATTATTAGCATCATTAACTCTTTCAGCCTGAACAGGAGGAACAGGCTCAGTTTCCAAAGGGTGGCACCGCTGATATTGCAGTGCACTCCCAGGACTGTATTGGAGTGTCAAGACTAGACTATGAGCTCATTGTGTGGAATCCACACCCTTCAAACTCAGAGGGGAGCGTGCTACCAACTGCGACAGGCTGACCAAAAACAGTAATCCATTGAAGATTAATCTTAAAACGTAAACATTTCTTCCACTTTCCATAAAAGAGAAAATATGAAAGGCAAAAAAACTGACCTTAAAACTAGAAGAGAAAGTTAGAATAGATATAATCTTGCAAATGGAATTCTAAAGGGTAAATAGAAGCAAAACATTGATGTCTGGGAGAGCACAAGCTTTTAAATACTTACATTTTAGTTAACATTCTATTGTTTGCATTCATATTAGTGTTCATTCACATTTTTATCATAGCTGAAGAAATAACAATCATGTGTGAGCATGAATCACATTAGCAGAATAAATCATAAGACTGAACTAACTGTTTATCTTTTGGTGCAGTAGGGGGTGCTCTGGGGTTGGATTTAAGGATTTTCAATAGGACAAACAAAAGGGAAATTCATTCTACATCTAACACACAATGCAAATGACTTGACAGGACTTGATGGCAGTTGATGACAATAATAGGAAATTGTTTCATTCCCAGCATTGACATGCTTATCATAGAAAGAATGCCAAATAAATCCTATCAAAATATCCTAACTTTAGCTGATGAATGTATGTCTAATACCCACCTTTATTTTTAACGTTAGCGAGGACACAACAATTGTGTTGATTGTTCACTACCAATACAAATCAAGCCGCGATGAAACAACGACAAGCAGGCTACTGCTCGTGACTGTGACCACAAGCACAGATGCACAGAGTTCTGCTTTTTTCATTAGTTAATTTTATTTTGTCCATTTTATAACTTTGACATGTTTAGATGTGAATGTGAAACAATCCCTTTACATGGCACCAAAAACACTGGAGGATGACTGGTAAATATTTCCTGTGACATGTTTACATAACCACAAATTCACTTCACCACAAATGCCCTGTGATACATTAAATAATATTGCCAACTGGGCTTCAATGTCTCTAACTGCCTTCAGTTGGCTAGTCTTATCACAACAACACCTTTAATTTATGCAGCGCACTTCACGTAGGATAAAGCTTCCCAAAGATGGAATCTTGGATGCTGAGCAAGAGAGGAGGGATAGGGAAGGTAACAGGAAGTGTGGGCAAATTTTTTAGTTGGGTTTTAAAAAAGATACAGATGGAGGTGGGTGAGATGGATGGTAGAGGGAATGAGTTGCACAAAGTATAAAACTGAGCAAAAAATATATGAAATTCAGTGGAGGGGATAGGGAAGAAAGAAAGAGTTACCCAAGAAAAAAGAAACATGATCCTTGAAAATATGATATTTCCAAACTGGAAGTTGTGACTTTTTACTTGCTGGATGTGTCTCGGCCAAGAAAAAGTTTTAAAAGTTTAAAAAAAGGTTGGGAACCAAAACGCTGGTCACAAAACTGACCTTTATTTCCAAATATCCCCTGCCAATTATTTAAAGCAACAATTTTCTGGTTGCGAATATAGAATTTTCAATCACATGGTTGCTATTGAATGTATTCGGGAAGCAAATGGCACTGGATGTGGAAACCATCTTATGGGTATAGTGTCCCTGGGAAATTAATCTGTACTGTTACAGTAGGACTACAGTTGAAAATTGATTTGATTGTCAATCAAAACCCATCTCTTGAACGTTCTTGGGCAGTCCATTCAATTTTTAATAACTGAGTCTCTTTAATAACATTAAAATATTAACCAACCTGAAAATTGTAGAAAACTGCAAACAATATTTTACACTAAAAAGTTTGAAGAATTAAAATAGGAAATATCAGCGCTTTGGGACGTCCTCCCGACATGATACGAATCTAATTTGTCGTTGCTGTTAAAATCCATCACGACACACTGCTCAGCACTCTGTAATTTTCAGAGGCTTGTGATATGTCCCTATCACTGTACCTGGATTCAGCTATCTATCTGTAACTATTTTGGTGACAGGCTGATAACAGCCACAATTTTTCTGTATAGTGAGCATTGATGAATGCGATGACACATGAGGTGTCGAGAGACAGGAATTACTGTACATATATCCTGCAAACAAGAATGGCAAATGATTGACATCCACTGCCCAACTGTGACAAAGATTACATGTAAGGAACACATAAATATGATTGCTGGTACATATTAATTTTAGATACAAAATGTTTGGCCTGCAATGCTCTTCTGAAATCATTGTGAACCTCCTCTTCTCTGCCTTGCAATAACTATCTTATTCTCATTGATACGTGTAAGCATATTTTGTGATATTTTTGTCATTAAAATGTGATACATATGAATTAAAAAGTCATTCCTATTTTCAGATGTTTTGAGTTAAAGCTTTCAATGGCTATATCATTATTTGTTTACACTTCATATGAGCCTTGCTCCGAGCTAACTATGAAGGTGGTATTTCTGATGTCCTTAACAAAGCAAAAGAGATAATTTAATTGTCATCAAAACTGCAATAAATAGCTATCACATATTGCAACAGCATCATATTGGCAAACTGGCTCTTGATATCTAGACTAAACAGGCAGAGCAGAAACAGACAGAGAAAACTTTAAGAAGCTTACCAATATTTTGATTGACAAGTCTGGCTACATCAAGCTGCAGTGACGTGCCCTGGACCTGGAAATGGAATGTCCATTGTACATCTAGTTGCTCGAATTGCGCTTTCATTTAGAAGCTGGAGGGAAAAAAATAACACTTGATGTTTCGTCTGCAACTGTCACTGGATCACAAATACTTTAAGGTCATTATTTCTACAACAAATCGGGCAGCACAGATTTTGAATGGAAATAAACAAGTGTGAAGACCATTAATAAGAAATGTCAGGAAGAATTGATTGAATCCCAAACATCCTTCAGCAAAAATTACCCCATAAATGGTTTCTAATTCAACAGTGAAGATTAGTCTTTCAGCTGCTGGAGTCACAATGACATTGCATAGCATTTGCTGGATACAGTATCATGTTTAATTCCTTTGTTTTCAGTAGGAAATCCTTTTCCAAATAATGAATTACTTAGTTCATGCCTGAAACATGCATCCTGTGCCAGCATTCTTTTTATAACCTTTGCTTTATTTTTGCTTTCCTGAGTTTAAATTTATTTTTGGAATCTGTGAATATATTTCCAATCAGTTCTTGATCGTATGCAGGAGAGATAAGGCACTGCAAATGTCTGTAATATTAGAATCTACTGTAAAATGTAGTAACTGTGTATTTGACTGCATTTTCACCCATCTTTCACCTCTCCACTCTCCTCGGCTCCCACTCTCAGTTTGAATGTCCTTCGAGCTCTGTCAAACTCTTTGAGATATCCTCCCAACTTGAAAGGTGCTGTATAAATGTATTATATTTTGTAGATCACATCTGAAGACTTTCCTCTTTGCCCATGCCTAGGGTCACCTCCCCTCCCTCCCGGCTCAGATTCCAGCTCCAGCACTGTAAAGTGCTCCGACAAGCTACCTTGTACGAAGGGTACTGTACAAATGCAAGTTGTTCTTCAAAACCTCTAACAATAATTGCACTTTCTTAGAGATATAGGAGAAAGCTTTATTTTTAAGTGTGAATCACTCTGCAAAACAGTCCCAGTTGTACTTTCACTACTATATTAAATGCTCCTTATTTTCTTAAGACTTACAACACCATAAGGAAATTTAGACTTTTATTTTCTACAACTGTCCTTTACAAAAGATTTTCAGCTCTGAGATTTTCTATGGTTGTGATCCCAAGATTGTGTGTGTGTATACACTATGCATATAGACACACACATACTCACATTCTGGTGGAATAGCCAGGAATAGAAATTTGGGTTGGCACCAATTTACAGTGGATGGACAACGATCAAATTTCCAATCCTAGCTATGCCACCGTATTATATCTCCCACTTTGACTCTCTTCCCTGGGCTGAGCTAGCGGACTTGCTGAGATAGCAAGGAGAGTGATAGGTGGGCCTGGGTGCTAAGTGGGTGGGCTGTGGCTTACCCGTGACTATGCCCCTGACACATACTATACACACATACTTTATATATATACACAGTATAGGAATGTTTCTCTTCAGATCTTCCACATCTTCAACCAATTGAGGAACTGATATTTCTTTTGCAACTTAGAGGCTGCAGGAAAGCTAGACAAGTCAGTTTTAACTTCTTCAAAAGGCTATACTAAGGGACATCTTACTCTCAGCTGTGTCATTCTTCTGGAGATTCAACAAGAGAAGGAGGCAAAGATTGAATTTGCCTAAAGGAGGGTATACACTCAGAGGAGGGGTTTGTCGAACCATCATAGAGCCTTGTACAGAATCATCACACAGCCAACATCAGAGCTAAGGTCTCGTTACAAAAAGAAGCAGGAAGTACAGACTTTAATATAGCTGATTTGCATGATTATATGGGGTAACCGTCATAATTGCCGTTCCTTAACTATTGCCAGCAATAAATAGATAAATAAAAGTATTGACTGAAACCTACTTTGGAACTAAACAACACTTAGACCTCAGAAGAGAGGTTTTGCCTTTGCACCCCCACCCCCGCCAGAACTGAGATATCACCATAGTAGTTTTGAATATATTGATTATTATCAAATTGTCATTGAAGTTCACTTCATTTTGTTTTAATTCCTAGGTACTAGGATTTTTAAACCTTTTTTTTCCATTGTAAAAATATATTTAAGGCACAAAGTGGAAAAAAAAAATTATGTTCCCAATGTCACTTCAATTTCACATTTCTAAAAGAATGGATTTTTCTCAGCTCCTTACCCTTAGTGGCAGCATTGAAGACTCATAAGTTAAATACAATAGGAGTTAAATTCAACCATAATTCTTGCTCTGTCAGTATTCAGGGTGAGATTCCTCAATTTGCTCGGTACAGTGATTGCCCCCATATAGGCACATATCTAAGACACTACATTTTGTGGCAAGAGAAATTTAATTCTCCATAGACTTTAAATTTACCTTCAGAAAAGCACTTCTCACCTTTAAATCAGAGTGATATTTCTACAGTGATACAAACGAGTCTTGTGGCATCTAAATGAATGAAACTAATAATAATGGTAAATTTTATTCTCCAGAAATTGAAGTTCCAAAATTTAGTTTATTTGCATCCAGTTACATAAAGGAGATGTTCATCCTATTATTCCAGGCTGGACTTGAACTCAGGTGCCAGAGGTGAAATTACAGTAATGTGCCCAGTTTCCCCTTCCATTCACATTTTATTTTATTGTCTTGTGAAAGCCTCTTTCTGCTCTTAATCCAAGTCTTATAGGAGCTTAGACTGGAACAGATCACAATTTATAACAATTTTTTTTATATAGAAGAAAATATTTCACGTTCTATATCCTCCAAACAAGAAAGGAACTTAATCTTTTGTTTTTTTAAAAATGTTTTTATAAAGTAGATCATTGACTTATTCAAGACTTTTAGAAGTGTTTCTCATCAGATAAATATTGTGTTCAAAGTATTCATTTCCTGACACTGCTTGGCAGATGAGCTGTTTACATGCCAGCTACTGTTAACTCTCTCAGTATTGCACAAGTCTTAACGCAGGAATGTCTTACAATTCCCAATCGTTGCTCCTCTCTCCACCACTTCAGGTCTCCTGCATTAACTACAACCATGACCAATTGTAGACAAACAATGTATCCCTTCACAAGATGACACAGTGCTGGGTATGTACACCAATACATCATGTCACCCAGTCTCCTTGTGTTAATTCTTTCTTCATTTGTGAAACGCTAAACTGTTGTGGCGAAATAAACTTTTTAATAATTGGCATTACAAATTTGTAATTCCCCTTCCCTTCAGGATCTTCCTCCAGGAGAGGCAGGAAGAATACTTAGTTTACAAACATTTAGACTACCTCAATAAGGTACATAGTGTTTTTTGCCTTCATGAAATAGTGTTTGTAAGCTAAAGTACAGCAAACACTAAATAATGTTTAAGCACTCTGGGACCCTATCCTGTGTGAAGAGTGCTATATAAATGCCACTTGTTGTTGTGAATATTTTTACACTACTTCCTCTTTCACACAAAATGGTTTCAGTCACCTGACATCATTCAACTCTGAGTGTTATGTTTGCACATATCATTCAGTGTGAGCTAATATAGAATCTACAATTCAGAACAGCTGAATACTGATGAACATCAGATTGCAGAGGTGTGGGAGCTAAAGGAATGCTGCTTTAGGTTGTATACAACCTGTGCAGAATGCTAGCCTTTGAGTAATAATGCATGTTAATATTCCTCTTCTGATTGCTCCAGAACACAAATTACTTGTAAGAGTTTTAGCCACCCTAAAGCATGTGACCACTTGCTGTTCAGCAGCTCTTTTCTGAACGCTACCACAGAACAGACTTGCATACATCCGTTCCATATTGGACAGATTTATATCTTTGGGCTTTGGCCATGAAACCATGGATCTGTTGAGATGTTCCTGGGATATCAAAGGCCATCTTCAATAATGAATGACTCATATCAGGTGCTCTGAAGCTGCAATTTCTTTCTCAGCTAATGTCTCAATTACTGTGGCTTGTCTTTTCACTCAGCCACAATTTTACCAGATTTTGTATCTGTATCATTATGATTTCAATGCACTTACCCTTTTTGTGTCATTAGAGCTATGAGCAGATTCACATAATCCAATGCATACGTGGTTATTACTGTCTAATAATAACTTTATAAGATAGATTGAAAATGCAAGGCAGACACATGCTAATTGAAGCTGGTATTTTTACCAGCTTCAATATAACTCATTCTGTAACCAGACGATCACAGAAGGCCTTGGATATCATAATATAAAAGTGAAACATCAATTTAAAAACTGTCTGTGAGAAAACTGTCCTTTGCTGTACAAGTTGTTTGAAATGTCATTGTGTGCCCAAGAATATGGACAAACATTGTTACTTTCAGGCCCATCTCAACATAAGGAACCTTCCAACAGAATTGTCAATCATATTCAAGATTGGAGTTGATTTTGCAGAACAAATGCATTTCAAGAGTGCCACATTCATCAGTTCCACAGGACTCAGACAGATCTCAGTATTGATTTTATAGATTCATAGAAATTTGCAGCGCAGAAGAAGGCCATTCGGCTCACAAAATATACAGTCAATTCACTTTACAGTATATTCTGTGAAGCACTTTGAGACGTCTCGAAGATGTGATAAGGCGCTATATCAAATGCAAAGATTATTATTATTGTTATCAAGACTGCTCCATCCCTCAGAGCAAGTTGTACTCTCAATCCCATTAGCCTACCTTAACCCCATTCTCCTTCAAGTCTCTACCTTTCATATACCCGTCTACTTGCCTCTTGAAACCCACAATGGACTCTGCCTCTATCATCTTACTTGGCAAGCAATCTACACTCCACCAACTCTTTGAGTGAAGTTTTACTAAGCTCTCCTTTCATTTCTCTTGCCGCTATCTTAAATATATGTTCTCACAGTCACTGACTCCCCTACCAGAGGAAATAGTTTATTCCTATTCACCCTGTCAAAACCCTCATAATTTTGTATCCATTTTAAAATATATTCTATGAAGCGCTTTAAGACATATCAACGCGCTTGTGATACGGCGCTATATCAAATGCAAGAATTATTATTCTTCCTTAAGTGA